CATGAATATTGCTGACAATGATATAATTTATGCATTATTTTAATTCATAACACAATCATTAGTAAATCAATACCAAAATGTATTGCTCTGTGAATGCAATAGTATTGCAATCAGTAGTGCAATAGCCATCTCTCACTCCCACCCCTATTGTGTCATGTGATATATGGCTGGTGTAGCCATTAAAGTAGCCTTTGGTGTGGTTATAGTGTATGGCGTCTCCATATGTGTGTAATGCTATGTACGGCACGACTGGATGTGAAATAATAAACATTTATTTACATTAAGTGTATATTAATAGTGAAAATACTATACTTTTAGGTGTCGTTTAAATGTCGCCTCAAATGAAACAATGTTTTAATGATTATATAATTGTATTGAGAAGTGATTACAACCTAAACATGATATCAATGTCTGACAACTTGTATGAAAACAATTGAATGAATTGAATGAGTGTTTCGTTGGACATAATTGTGACAATTGATGAACTCGTGGTAACAATCAGTTTGAATGCATTGAATCCATTGAAATGGTAATGCATTTCATGAAATGATGGCCAAAGTAGACAATAGTGTGACAAAGTGTTCACGTGTTTCAGCCATTCATCATGTCTTCGAGCGAAGACATTGACAGCACTAACAGTAATACTGGACTTCATGTGAATCGCAAATCCATTACTAATAAATCCATTATTAATTACAAGAAGTCTAATAACCGGAAGAGAGTGTCAATAGTGGAGCCGTCGGGTCTCACATCTGGACAACTGTTGCCGTCTCTGACCACCGGTTCGTCGGTCGCCGGCATTGAAGAGATTCAAGAGTTGAGTCACTCGTCTATTGATAGCCAGAGTCTGGTACTGATCGCCGCAAACAACTCTTCAGACGAGTCCGGCATTGAATCCACTGAATCTGATTCACTCCTCAGGACTAAAACAACTAAACGTCTCAATAAAAAGTAATCACATTTTGTTTGCTTTTGTTTTTATTAATTATTTTATTTGAATGTCATTTCAATTAATTATACGATATTTGCAATCATTTTCTGCTAATAATAATGGCATTGAATTTGAAACGTTAATAATTAATGAGTTTTTGTGCTTTTATTTCATAACATATTTTATACTTATTTCTCAATTTTTAGATTTAGTTTTACTTTTTTCTCTCTTTTACACCAAAAATCTGTTTTAATTATTGTTTTCAAGCATTTATTGATTTAATTTTTGCAATTTTGCGTATTTATTGATCTAATTATGTTTTATAGCAATTTAGTAAATGTCTAATTGAATTGTAATTAGTGGTGAAATTATCATAATCTGCACATTGTTTGGCATTTGTCTATTGAGTTAAGGCTTAAATGTGTTAGTAATACAAAAATATTTATACGACAATTGGTTACAATATTTAGTGACATTTAAAGCCATAATTGTTGTGAAAACACAATTTAATGATTGATTTTGTGTTTTTGTGTCGACAACAGGAATAAGAAGTCGCGTCGAAAGACATCGATATTGTGTTGTATATGTGTATTGACTGCCAATTGTTTGTCAGCAATGGTTCGCCTGTTGTTCGGGAAGAAGCAGTTGAAGCCGCGGACGGTTTACGTGAGAGGATCGGACCGTTTCAACGAAAAGACCAAACAGTCGTTTCCGGCAAATATAGTGCGAAACCAGAAATACAATATAATCACGTTTTTGCCGATAGTGTTGTTCAATCAATTCAAATTCTTTCTCAACCTCTACTTCCTGTTGATGGCGTGCTCTCAATTCATTACATCCCTTAAAGTCGGTTATCTCTACACATATTGGGCTCCACTGGGCTTTGTATTGGGGGTAACACTGCTTCGGGAGGCCGTCGACGACATCTTGCGTTTCAAACGCGACAAAGCAGTCAATAGTCAATTGTATCAGAAGCTAACCCGTGACGGCCCGCTAGCCGTCCACAGCTCTCGCATTAAAGTGGGAGATCTGATAGTAGTGTCCAAAGACCAGAGAGTGCCCGCAGATATGGTTTTCCTGCGCACAAGTGAGAAGAATGGCGCCTGTTTTGTACGCACAGATCAATTGGATGGCGAAACCGATTGGAAACTCAGACTCGCCGTAGCGGCCACTCAAGGCCTCGATTCTGGCGATCAATTGTTTAGTTTGGATGCATATGTCGACGCAGAAGAGCCCCGAAGGGATATTCACAGCTTTACCGGCAAATTCACTATAGATTCAGGTATTGTATTATAATTTATAATCACTTGTTTTGGTTCAGTCTTACAAATGATGTTTTTATAATTTGAAGGCAATAAAGAGATTTCTTTAAATATTGAGAACACATTGTGGGCCAATACAGTGATAGCTTCGGGCACTGCAATAGGTATTGTGATATACACGGGTCCCGAAACCCGATCAATGATGAACAACAACGAGCCCCGCAGTAAAGTAGGACTCCTTGACTATGAGGTGAACTCTATCACCAAAGTATTGTTCGCAGCGGTTGTCATATTAGCCTTTGCTATGATTTGTTTGAAAGGTTTGTTCTCTCGATTATTGCTAATTCTTATTAATTTAACATATGTTTGACATTTTATTCAATCAGGTTTTAACGGCCCGTACTTTAGATATTGGTTTCGATTTGTGCTCTTATTTTCATATATAATACCCATTAGTCTGAGAGTTAATCTTGAAATGGGAAGAGTTGTGTACTCTTATATGATTCAAAGAGATATGGAAATACCGGGAACTTTGGTCCGAACAACTACTATACCCGAGGATTTGGGACGAATCGCATACTTATTGACCGATAAAACGGGAACTTTAACCAGAAATGAAATGGTGTTTAAGAAAATACATTTGGGAAAAATCTCGTACAGTCCTGAATATTTTGATGAGTTGGCCGCTCTGTTGAGGGTCTACTATACGCCACAACCGCCGCAATCCAACAACTATCAGACCCATAAACGGGACAGTTCGACGGCCAGTACGGCCAGCTTTACTGTCGAGCGCCGCCAATACCAACCCAGACATATGAGAGTCGATTCTTACGAAGTGGACAGAGATAGTGTCTATCGAGTCCAACAGGCAGTTCTTGTCATTGCTTTGTGTCATAACGTAACGCCGTCTTATGAGAACGGATCCAATCCCTACTCAGACAGCACTGAACTCTCCAAACCACCCATTGGTGTGTAAAACAACACTATTTTTAATTTTTCAAATAATTTGATTACTTATTATAAATGAAATAAATTGTTAGATCCAGATTCAGTTGCCATACCATTGATGCCCAGAGGAATCACATATCAGGCGTCGAGTCCTGATGAGGTGGCACTCGTGCAGTGGACCGAGAAGTTGGGTCTGGCACTAGTTTATCGAGATTTAACAACAATGAAACTCCGGAACCCAATTGGAAATCTTATGAGTTTTGAAATTTTGCAAATATTTCCGTTTAGTTCGGAAACCAAACGAATGGGTATTATTGTTAGGGATATGACAAACAACGAGATTATGTTCCTCTTGAAAGGCGCCGATTCTGTCATGTCGTCTATTATTGTGTACAGCGATTGGCTTCAGGAACAGTGCGATAATATGGCCAGAAGTGGTCTCAGAACTCTTGTTGTCGCCAAAAAGTCTTTGACTGACGAACAATACGTAGAATTCGAGACCCGATATAATCAGGCAAAGTGTTCAATGAGTGACAGGAATGCAAAGATTGGCGCCGTTTTGGCAAATCTTGAGAAGGATATGGAGTTATTATGTCTGACAGGTCTGACTCTCATTATTCACTTATTATGAAGCAATGATTTTAATGAATGTGTAATAACTTGTGGGACAGGTGTTGAGGATCGTCTGCAAGAAGGAGTGGCCACAACACTGAAGGGTCTTCAGGACGCGGGCATAAAGCTATGGATGTTGACCGGAGATAAACTCGAAACGGCTATTAGTATTGCAAAGTCATCACAATTGGTGAAGAAAATGCAGGAATTCTATGTGTTTCGGTCCATAAAGAACAGAACCGAAGCTCACCTCGAGTTGAATAACTTTCACCGCAAGAGTGACTGTCCGCTTGTGATCAGAGGGGAAGACCTGGAGTTGTGTATGAAGTTCTACTCGACTGAGTTCATGGAGTTGGCGTGTCAGTGCCCGGCCGTCGTCTGTTGCCGCTGCTCTCCCACACAGAAGGCAGAAGTGGTGAAACTGATTCAGAACAGGACCGGCAAACGCACGTGTGCTGTGGGCGATGGCGGCAACGATGTGTCGATGATCCAGACGGCAGACGTGGGCGTCGGTATTGTCGGCAAAGAGGGACAACAGGCATCACTGGCCGCCGATTTCTCGATCCTTCAGTTCAGTCATATCTATCGCTTGATTCTACTTCACGGACGGTATAGTTATAAACGGTCGGCCACTTTGAGTCAGTTTATTATCCACAGAGGACTCATCATAAGCACACTTCAGGCCATCTTTTCGTCGGTGTTTTACTTCGCATCCGTCGCTCTCTATCAGGGCTTTCTAATGATAGGTTACGCCACTCTCTACACAATGTTTCCCGTATTTAGTATAGTGTTGGACAAAGACGTGTCTCCGCGACTAGTCATGCGTTACCCCGAGCTCTACAAACTGATGAAAGGGCGGTCTCTGAGCTATAAGACATTTTTCATATGGGTGTTGATCAGTATATACCAGGGAGGGGTCATTATGTACGGAGCGATGCTTCTGTTCAACGACGAGTTCATACATGTGGTGGCCATCACCTTCACGGCAGTCATACTGACCGAGTTGTTGATGTTGGCGCTGACAGTGCGGACGTGGCATTGGATGATGATAGTGGCCGAGTTGATCTCACTGTCCACCTATTTGCTCACTCTCATAGTGGCGCCACAGTATTTCGACGAGAAGTTCATCCAAACGCGTGCTTTTCTATGGAAAGTCACTCTATTGACGGTCGTGTCGTGTCTACCCCTATATATACTCAAGTTTGTCCACCGAAAGATCGCACCGCCCAGTCATTCAAAGCTCACCTAATACACCCGAAGATATACTGAACTATTTATCCATTCTTTTATCATAAACTTTTCAATTTGCCGTAAATTGATATTTATTTTTTCATAAGATTACCAATGCTTGAAAACCCTAACTATTGTTATAACTTATAAGGATAACTATAAATGTTATTCCATTTATTACTATATTGTCATTAAAAATGTTTTCTATGAGAATAATTGGTATTAAAAGTCAATTCACTTTTTAATTGTGTCGTAATATTCATTTGGAAAACAAATGGTAGAACTTCTGACCAAACATTTGCATATTATTTAGACAATATTTATTAAATTAATAGTTACATTGATTTTGAAATGACCACAGAATTGGATAACATTTGCAAAATATTAGCAAATAATAGTGAGCTGAGTGTGAGCTCCAGCTGTGCTCTACCGATAAGCAGCGATAACTTGTGCCACATTTTCGAGGTCTATCTTCTCAGTGATGTTCTTAGTCTTGATGTTCTCCTCCTGATTGGCAATGAAAACAAATCCGTTCTCAATGTCTTTCCAACCGCTTTGAGTCATCCATTGGTTTAATTGATTGTCAGCTAAACCTCCTAACAGTAACCGAAGAGTCGACTTCTCAATGGTCTGGTATGTGATTTGAATGACATGACAAATGACTGCCAATCAATACAATTAGCATTTATTAGTAATCGAGTCATTCTTTTTCAAAATTGCTTACATTTTCTGATAGAGTTCTCGAAGCCATTGATGCCACGAATGAGATCAGGTTTTGCCGACAACTCTCCCTTAAGACCAAATAAGCATTTATATTAATAAACAGTGAATCCAAATATAAAATTTAGTTATAAATAGAATTTTTGTTAACTTAAGACAAAAATGTTTTATCATTTATTGAAACAAACATTTGGAGATAAAGTGGTGTATATTTTAGTCCAAAAGCGAAAACTTCACAAAATGTAATGATTGAGAAGTCATTATAATTGGACACAACATTCAGTGACCATTAAAATCAATATAAGCTATAAATACCCAGAAATGTTGGAAACGACACGTTTCCAGCAGATTATGTAAACTCGTTATCAGAGCAATGGTCTCGTCCTCCAAGAGAGTCGAGTCGATGAGACATTTGCAGAGAACAAAGTCAGTGTTGGGAAGTGCTGTCAATGCCTTCAACAAAATGGCGATCACTGTCTCCTTCTTTGTCTCTTTCGGATTGAATTGATATAACTTAAGGACCGCTAGATTTGCCTCCAAGTCATAGTAGTTGTCCAACGATTGTCTCAACACATATGTCTCCAAATGACCCAAATTGTTGGGATTGTAGCTAAACATACAAAACACACGAATACATCATATTATGGCCACTCAATCAAAGTTCATATCATTCCTCAGCATATCTACAACACATGCATTCAATCCATTGTATTTACCGATCGATTCCCCGAAGCATTTGCTTAATCTTGTGTTGCATTTGTTCCGCCATTTTGTGTCCAATTCTTGGGATTAAGTTATGATTAAAAAAAATACAAAATTGATTTCAATTTAAACACAAATCAAATGAATTGTGAGTTAAATGTGTGGCAAATGTGTGAACACGTGTTGTCAGTCACTCAACGCTCACTCATTTGCGGTTCAAATGATTGAAACGTTATTTGTGTTGAAATTAATGAATGATTTGACTCTAGTTTTCAAACATTTATGAATTGAGTGAAGATATTGTTTGTGACAACACATCCAACAGCACATCCAACTGATCCGATGGACAGTCAACTGCAAAGAGAGGGTCGACTCATACTATTGGTGGACAAGCAGTGGAGGGAAGACATGAAGCAATTGCCAAACGAAGAGATAGCGGTTCCAGTGCTGCAATTGCCAGACCCGGAGCCCGACAACGGCAACCCTAACGACACACTCAAAGACCTGGAGCTCAAGTGGACTGATCTCGCGCTCAATCGCATCACTCATAGGGACAACACTCACACCAACACTCACTCCAATCACATCCAGTGATCACATGATCCTCACAATCAATGCTTACATTTGATTATTGTTTTTATAGTANTTAATAAATTGAGTTACTAATTTTCTTAATTTAAAAAATAAATTACAAAATATTGGGTCAAAAATTGTATCATAACGTTTAGGTATACAGTATTGGGTAACTGAACATAAATCAAATGAGATGTGTAATAATAATAATAATAAATTAATTGTTGACCCGAGAATTCAAATGAAATTCATATTCTTATAATTATAACGTATATTTAATTGACATTTGAATGGATGAAAAAGTACTCAACTTTTAACGAGAATCTTATTAGACGTGAATTTGAGTTAAAATGAATGTCATTTTAATGATACTGTTATTAATGGTTAGCGAATATGTGATGACAGAAGAAGTGGACCCGGAATCAGAACTTTGTGGAGATCTCGTGATTGACGCCGCCGTCTCTGCGGACGATGGCATTGATTACATATTTAAAGGGCACTCGTATTGGATATTAGACACACAACTGGGTATTTCAGAAGAGTCGGGGCATTGGATTAGTGAGCGGTGGCCCGGATTGGCCACACCTGTTGACGCGGCCTTCACTATGCAGGACAACACATTTGGATTGTCAACCGTTTTCATTAAAGTTTGTGCCAAATTATCAAATCCTTCACATCCTATAAATAATTTTCATATTTCTTATAACAAAAAATATTTACAACAAATTAAATATAAATTCTATTTTAGGGAAACCAATGGTTTCTTTTCAATAAAAACAAACTCCAAAGCAATGGTTCGACCAAAGAGTGGGAAAAGTTTCCCGAATATACAATTATGGCTGCATTTAATTATTACAATAAGTCGATTGAAGTGAAAAACCAACAGATCTTCTTCATCTATAACGAGGACTACTTCTCTATCTATCTGTTCCGTGACATACATAAGCCGTCGTATCAGAAGTCCAATAGAGCGCGAAGAATAGGCAAATTCTTTTACTTCTTAGGGGAACCGCTCAAGAATTATACGCAAACTCTTAGGGATTATATGAATGTCAGAGCAGTTGTTATCAAGAAAAATGTCACCTTTTTTGGTGACCAAGATCTTTGTATTGGAAACACTCAAGAATCGAGTCCTCTCGTAAGCAACACTAAATACACACTCATATGAGTCATATCGAAATCATTAATCATTTTATTTCACATAAAAGTGCGAAACTATTGGCCGACAAAAAACCAAAGAATACTATAAGTGTCCGCGAAAAGCAAAGAGACCTAAAACCACAACCACTACCACAACCACCGCCGCCACTCTCGCCAACACATCGTCAGACACCCTAACACCGGATCTGTCGTCCAATCACTCTCTTCTGTCCAATCACTCAATTCATGTGACAACCGGTCGCCCTATAGAAGACAAATTACAGTCTTCTTCTTCAAGCGGTGGTAAAACAAATTGGACTCTATTTGTGATTTTGTTTGCAATAATTGGTGTCATTTGTTTGATTGTTGGCATCGCTTATATCTATGTCTTTAAAAACAAGAAAAACAAACCAAACAAAAAGGACCCAAAAATGGACGCAAAGATTGAGAGAAAAACATCTAAATCTGTAAAAAGTGATGTGAAAAACACAACTATTGGCGTCAATCAGACTAAAAGTTTGCCTGATTTGAAACCTCCAGATCTGTCCACTCCTGATATGGAAGAAGCGGATCAGATCATGGAAAAGGTCAGATCCAAAGACGATATCGACGCTTAGTCTCAGCAACACATATAAGCACTCGTAATGTCCACACATTTCTCCTTTAATTCATTTCATTATTTAAATTGTTTTACAAATTAATAAATACTATAAAAACAATAATCAAATGTAAGCATTGATTGTGAGGATCATGTGATCACTGGATGTGATTGGAGTGAGTGTTGGTGTGAGTGTTGTCCCTATGAGTGATGCGATTGAGCGCGAGATCAGTCCACTTGAGCTCCAGGTCTTTGAGTGTGTCGTTAGGGTTGCCGTTGTCGGGCTCCGGGTCTGGCAATTGCAGCACTGGAACCGCTATCTCTTCGTTTGGCA